AATGAATCAGCATATTCAGATCAACTGAAATTCTGTCAAAAATGTTTTAGCCACAGTGAGCTCAAACACAAAAATGGCAGGAAGCAATTGTTTGGGGGTTGAACTAGATGACCTCGAGTTTCCTTCCTGCCCTACTTTTCTGATTGTTTTTTTCTCTCTCTTTCTATGCCAAGACTCTTTTAGTTCCATCCTAGGTAACTAAGCTGGAGTTACAGTTCTGAGAAGGCCCCTTCTGCTCAGAAATGCTGATCATCTTTTTATTAGCAGAGAAAGATTCCCAGATTAGCAATACCAAAAACCGAGTTACCCATCTCAAAGATAACCACTTCCTGACCCCCCAAACTGCTTAAAACTCATTTTGGTATGCTAGTGGTTATCTTTAGCCTCCTCTATGTTGTTCTAGCTCCTAGTGCTCTATCTGACACCTGCTACTTGTCACAAGACATTCTTGGCTCTGTTGGCCATACTATTATCTTCTGTCACTGTGATTGTGTAGATGGACACCTTTTCCATCGTTTTCCACCAAGCATTTCTCTGGTTTATTAATACAAATTATTCAACCTGCTGGAAACTGCTCTAGGGTTAAAATTCCCAGATATAGGCAGGTAACATCATATTTAAAAAAAAGACTTACCTGTTGCTGTTGGACAGAGAGCCCTGGAATAGGTTTCAGAAAACCCGGGAGCTGATTCCTAACTATGCTATTGATGATGTTTGGCAAGTGACTTCAGCTATGTCTGTTTTTGCATCTGGTGAAATTTGGCTCATGAAAGCAACCTTCTTTTAAAGCACTCTGGGATTGACAGATAAACAGCACTATGTAAGAGCTGGGTATTATTAGATGCAATGGACCAAATTTTCCTTGTTGCCACTGACAAAACTCATTTCACTTTAATAGGGCTGCAACAATCTAGTGGGAGAATTTCATCTGAGAAATATTTAATCTGCTTGGGTCTAAATATAACTTTGCAACAAATGACTTATTTTTTCATCCTCCTCCTCTCTGCTTTTCTGCAGCTTGCATACTCACTTGCTAAATATATTACCGGGCACTATTTGCCTCCATCTACACAGGGGAGGTCCTTGCGTGGTTTCTCTCACTCCTAGAAATTTTGCAGATGCATAGCTAGGGCTCTTCCAACCCCTCATATAAATACTGGTTTCTGTGCAAAGCAGGCATAAAATGCAATTGAATTAGAATTCTGCAGTCTCACTAGTGATAGAGATGCACCTGACTTTCATGTGTGTATTGGACTACATGAGGTATAAAACAGTGGAGAACAAGTCCACAGCTATTTATCACAGAGAAAAAACTAGCTATTTATCACACTAGCTGGGCCCCTGTCAGTAACTCTTTTTCTCAGTAGAGGGAGTTGTTTCTCAATGTAATAAGATAACATTATCCGATTGCATTTTTGTCAGGCATGTCTTATTTATTACCTCACATGTAATTTAATTTGTAGTGTATTTCCCTTGCTATTTTCTATATTTTCCCCCTGTATATTGTAATAACTTTCAATAAAAGTTTGAACAAAGAAAGGGACACAATTTTTGATCCACCACTGAGATGAAATACTCAGGCATCTCTTGCTTTTTTGAAAAAAAGCTTTTCTTACTTTTGGCAATCAGTGAAATTTTCTAGGAAAATGTTGATGATCATCATCTGGGAACACAATTACCGGCTTCAATAAAAACTCTAGCTGAAATGTTGCATTGCTGGTAACACATAACAGGTGCCCACAGCAAGGTGAATTATTATAATGTCTAGTGACTGTATTTGTTTCTCTCACAAACAAACGGTCCCTACCCAAAAATCTCCATCAAAGTGTGTGACAGGTGACAGGCTTACTTACAATTTACTTATATCTACTGGTTGTCATCTGTCATATGAGCAACAGCTGGGGGGAGCACAAGGTAAATGAGAAACTTATAAATATGTAATAAGTAACTGTCAATGTGCACCAGCTGCCTAGTGGTTGTCAGGTGTTTTGTAGGCATTACAGCATAGGTGCATTTAAAGGAGAGGCAGCAAAGCAACACTTTAAGACAGGAGATAGAGAAAGGAGCATAATTCTGAAACTGAAGGAGAAGTAAAATGAATTGCTGAACTGCAATTGAGCCAGAACGCTGGGCTCCTTATCCTTGAGAAAAATGTCGTAAGAACATTAATATTCACAAATGAAGAAACTCTCTCGTAATACCTGGAAAAGATTGGTATGCTCAGATCTCTGTAGTACTGACACAATGGTCTGGCACCGACTCTGGTAGAGTTTTTCTCCCCACTTCTTGCAGCATCTGGGTTTTGCCCTGTATCTCATCTATATGCTGAGCTATAGGTTACCCCTGCTTAGCTGCAAAGACAAGCTTCAATGCAGTAGCTTTGATTATTTTTTTTTTCTTTTCCCTCTGCTGTTGTTCAAGAAGTTCTGCATGCGTCCACCCATTGGACCTGTGTTTCTTCACTCTGTCATAGAACAAACCTTATTAATACAGCAGTCATATACTTTAAAACAAAGGAAAGGAGCAACGTCTTTCTGTTGTTGCTAATGAAATTTTTATCTGGGCATCTCTGTAAGCACATCGGGCCTAAGAGGCACAGATTATATTAGAGAAAGAAGAGAGTCAGTGAGCCTTGGAAATAAATCAAAAGACAAAAAAGGAAGAAGAATAGCAACAGTAAATTAATAAGTGACACAAAACAACTGGAGGAAATAATAAAAACGGGAGGAGTGGAAAAAAAAGGCACAGGAGAGATTGTTTACAATGTGTATTGGACTTCCCAGCTTTCTGACATCTTATCTCCAATTCCTTCCATATGTTACTTTACGCACGGGTTCCTGTTTTTATGGGGTTTTGTTCTTTGGTTTTCGAACAAACATGAATGACTCACATCTGCTCCAATACCTAATTTATTCTCGAATGTCTTCTGCCAGGGATGGCTCTGCTGGTGCTATACTTACCAATGACAGGAGTGGAAGAAGAGTAAACTGGGGAAGAGAAGGGGGCAAAGACATGACAGAACAGAAATAACATGTAAACCAGTGTAAGTGATCAGAAACTGGTTCAAATTTGTAACACGACAGCAGTTCAGTGCATATAAATTGCTTCCAAAATGACCAGAACTGGTTTAAGATAAACCTGGATGGATGTAGTATCAGACTGAACTGATTTAGGTTAAATCCATTTATTAAATTTCTGGCCCATGTCTCCTGATTCAAGTGAGCTCACAGTCCCCCAGCATCCCAGGATGCTTTGCACCCCCACTCGTCCCCTTGCAGGGAGGTGGGCTAGCTTTGGCCCAAGCTGCAACGGAGCAAGGAAGCATGCTCTGGTGCCCCGGGCTTCTGGCCTGGCCCACTGCAGGCACGTGGCTGCATGTCCCCAGTCAAAAGTGAAAGTCTGTTCACTTGCTTATGGGTTCAGTCTGCAGCTTAGAGGAATCTGCCAAGATTGAATGGACTCAGCCTTGGGCTTTACTGTGTGTACTTAGCCGAGGAGGTTTTGACTGGCTTCTGGTGCCTAGCAGTGTGTCCCCTACCTCTCCCTCTAAGAAGCCTGAACTGGCAGGTTGTCCCACAGGGGTAAAGGCTTGTGCCCGAGCCGAGCCCTGGGGTCCCCTGGAGAGGGGCTGGAGGGAGGCCGGAGCCTGCTGCTGGCTCAGCCCTGCCGGCAGCCCAGCTCCACGGTGGCCTCCACCCCATGCAGAGCCGCTCTGCGTGGAAGATGATGATTTTTTTTCTTTTTGTTTTTTTGTGCAAGTGCTCTTGACAGCTCCGGAGCCTCCAATCTTCTCTTCTTCCAAATCCAGTCATTACATCCCACCTACCTGAGCCCCCCCCGCCCCGCCCCCGCTT